GCATACAAATATGATTTTTGTGTTTGTTATATGTGATGTTTCATAAAACTTTTAAACGCAAGAATTTTATATATATAATAACAGTTCAAGACATTAAAAATAAGCACAGTTATCAATTTTTGGCCTATGTCCTTGCTTTATAAATAGAAGATTGCCTTAATTAACGAAGACATAAAATCAACATACATATAACCACAATATAATACGTACTAGTCATCAATTCGATATACTCTCTCTAACAATTTAAGTTTTAACGTGATGAGGATAGAGTCTGATCGGAAGTCCGTTAGCCGGAATTGGCATGGGATTAACGACGATTTTCTCATCACGGATAATTTTCTTCCAGCTGAACCTTTTAACAAGATGGTGCATGAAAACAAGTATTTCTAAACGAGCATACTCTTTTCCAGGGCACATTCTTGGTCCACCACCAAAAGGTACAAATGTGTATGGAGCAGGTCCATTTCCTTCAAATCTTGAGGGGTCAAATTTTAAAGGATCTACGAATACTTCTGGATTTATGTGTGTTGAATTTGCACTCCAATATATCTGCAAATCAATTTCAGTGCACTAACAAGAGTTAGGGTGAATTTGGGAAAGTCAATAGCTCAATTGTCACTACATATGTATTTTAGCGGCAATTAGCATTCTTTATATATGTTTCAAAAGCCTTTTAGCGATATGAGATCTAATGACACTTAACTAACGTTGGTAAAGGTTGTAGCACTCTTTATTAATATGTTTATTTATTACTGTTAAAAGTTATTTTTTGTTATAGTGTTATTTTATTGTGTTCGATTTGTAAGTAAGCAGAAAATTTAGACAAATACTATAGGAGGTGGGAGATGGGGAGGTAGCTAAGGGTGTAAGATGGTGAGGGATATGGGGGCGGGGGAAGTTGAGATGTAGAATGACAGGAGAACACAATCAATGTGAAATGTCACTAACAATCGCAAAATCAAAATTTTCACTAAGGGATTCAAACACATGAAGATATTTAAAATGGGTTCAACATCTATTATATATACATGAAAAATAATTTTAAGAGTGTATAAACAATGTGATTTTCCATCAAAGGTTGTTCGGATAAATCCCTCGGCCTTACGTGTCTTCGCCCCTGTTCATTGGTAGAGCCTTTTTTTCCCCTACTTTCATTAGGAAACTTATTTTCCTTATTTTAGGAGTTTGTTTCCCTAGGAAAAACATGAGAAAATTAAAAAATAGTTTTGAAATTTGTATCCAACAAGACCTTAGTCTCTCTCTTTTACCTTTTTATATCTTTTTTTCTTCATGATTTGGTGATATTACTTATTTATTTTTAAAAAAACTTACCAACAGATATCGTTCGATTAACTAGTTTATCAACATGATGAAAATATATGCATATATATATATATATAATTATTGTTCTTTATTTTTCATACCTTCCATCCTTTTGGAATGGAGAAACCGTTGAAGGTGAAGTCTACAAGGGCTTCCCTAAAAGCACCTTGAAGGGGTGGAGCAAGTCTTAGAACTTCACATGCCACATTCCATGAATATTTCATCTTTTTAATGTCTTCCCAACTCAATAATTCTCCTGGACCCTTTGATTTTGCAATCTCTATTTGCTCTATTTTCATCAAATACAAAGAAAAATAAAAAACATTAATATCTATATGAAAATCAATCACCTCAAATATGACTTGTCAAACCAAATCACTGATTTTTTTTCAAAAAAAATATCAATAAATTTAGATAAGAATTGTGTTTTCCTAAGACTTGCTATTTTTATCAATGTTCAAACTCATAATTTATGGGAAAAATCTGAAATATATATTCAAACTTTGATCGAAATTGTTATAACAATATCGAAATTTGGAAAGGACTTTTTACCCTCTACATTGTGTAAAAGTGTATTTTAAAGGTATATACGTGGATATCATAAATATGACATCATTATAAATAGTAATGTGCCCATGGAGGACACATACATACATTTAAAATACACTACTAAATAGTGCAGGGGATAAAAGTTCTTCTATAAAGTTTGGTATCGTAACAACAATTTCGGTCAAAGTTGAGGTATGATTTATATATTTTTTTTAGTTATATATACCGTATCGATTGACTATTAGAAAAGTCTTATGTGGTGTAATTTCACTTATTATTTATCATTTCTATCACATTACTTGGTAATTCTTATTATCAAATAGCTTTACGTAATGTGATTGTATAAATATTTTTTTATGACAAAAAAATTATGAGAAGTTGGGTTACCTTTGTAAACTTGATCATAAATTTCAGGAAGCTCAGCAAGGTATTTAACAATAAAAGCACAAGCAGAACTAGCAGTGTCATGGCCACCAATCAACAACCCTAATATCTTATCAGCAATATCCAACTCATGCATAAACTTCCCATTTTCATCACTTGTCAACAACATGTGTGACAATATATCTTGACTGTCTGATGCTTTTCCCTCGGTCAAATCAATCTTCCTTTGCTTTATGATTGCCACAAGCTCTTTTCTAATAAAATTGGATGCCTTAATAGCACGATTAAATGGCGTGCCAGGTAAATTTATAGGTATAGAAATCAATCCAGAAGCCAAAACATCGAAAGGATCAGCAAGTCTAGCAACATGGTTAGGATCTTCCACACTGACAAATAATCTACAAGCTAACCAAAAAGTATAGCGTTTAGCTAGAGGGAAAACAACAACTTCTTGTTGATTTTCCCACGATTGAAAATGTTTTTGCGCGATATGATCCATGATTCGAATGTAACGTTGCAATGCTTCAGGTTTGAGGAAGTTAGGAAGCATTTTCCTCATTTTGATAGCTTCTTCTTTTGAAGAAGTTTGTGTTGAAGATGGAAAGACTTTGTCTACTGAACTTGGCCACCATGTTTGAACTAGTTTATTTTCATTCGAAAACAAAAACTTATTACTAGATGCACCACAAAAAACAACCGCTTTTTCACCTAAAAGATGAGTTTTGAAAATGCTAGACTTGTATTTGGAAATTCTATCGAAGATGAATTTTTCAGGATGACCTTTCCAACCAGTAGAGAGAAACTCGAGGGTTTCACCGATAACCGGCCAACCGGAGTTGCCAGGAGGAAGAGGGCAAGACAAGATCATGGATTTGTTCTTCTTGTTGAAGAGAAAGAGGAAGGAGAGGGAGAGTAAAAGGACAAAGAGGCAAACAAGAGAGGCATAGAACAATTCCATGTCTAACTAATTAGTTTTGTATGTTAGTTTAGACTTTAGAGAAAAAAAATGCTCTTGGTGTGATTGAGGATTTTTGGGTATAGTTAAAGCACACATATATACTTTATGACAGATTATTATGTGAGAACTATAGCAAGAGATATTCTATGATTTGTCTCATCTTTCTTTTCGGATTATTCCTCTTATCTTAGATTTATTTTATATGTAAGGGTTGGTTGGAGGATTTGTTTTTATATATAACTATTTCGTTTCGTTTAAGTTGTGATATTGTTAAAGTTAAGTTAAATTATATTCATTCCATATTTTATATGTAATTAGATATTCAAAAATATATAAAAAATTAATGTCATTTTATTCATAAAAAAAATTATGACAACTAAAAAGAAATGGAGAGAATATTATTATTAAAATTACATGAATATAAAATTTATCAAACCGATCCCATTATTTGTTCGTGATAACAATTGTCACAAAATAAAAAAATATATGAGTCACATCAGGCAAGCATTGATATTATCAACTTTGATGCTTTATAAATCGAATTTGGGATAAAGTTAAAATATTGTTTCTAAACAATAAAATCATCGGGTAAAGGTAGCATTTGGATTATATATGGTAGTCTTTTAAAATAGGAACTTTTACGTATAGCCACTCAAAAATAATCTATTACTCTCTATAGCTATAGTTTGATAATTACAATTCGTAGCTCTATGTTATAGAGAGGAGAGAGGCGAGCGAGACTGGGAGAGAGAGGAGAGAGACGAGCGGGAGAGGGCAAAGAATGGGAGAGAGGTGAAATGTATATGTATATTAGTTAGATAATTGTATATTATACATAGTAGTTGTATATATGACAAGAGAGATTGAGAGAGGGAGAAGAGAGGCGAGCGAGATTGGGAGAGATAGAGGAGAGAGGCGAGCGAGAGAGGGCAGAGAGTGAGAGAGAGGTGAATTGTATATGTATATAAATTAGATAGTTGTATATAATACCTATGCACTTGTATATATGGCAAGCGAGATTGAGAGAGAGAGAGAGGAGAGAAGCACTCGAGATGGGGGAGGGAGGACAGAGGACAAAGAGTGGGAGAGAGGTGAATTTTATGTGTATATCGGTTAAATAATTGTATATTATACATATGTATTTATATATTCTGGCGAATTATACATATACAAACGTGGCTAATTATACAAACTCGAAGTCAACCCACATAATTAGTGCATAATGTTAGTCGCGAGTAGTAATTACAGCAAACTATAACTATGATGAGTAATAAATTAGTATAAATTTGCTTGACCGCGTAATTTTTCCTTTAAAATATTATATCATAATTTTGATTTGGCACACATTTAATAGGAAAATAAAAAAAAATTGAATTTTATACCTTTAAATTAAAGAGAGATATTTCTCTAAAATATCACTACTAGAAAACATGCTTGTAGCAACAATTAAATATGTGTTGCAATAGATACTCATTCGCAAGGGTTATAACCTTTGCAATAGATAACTGGACCTAATGAAACACTTTAAGAATTAAATCGTTGCATTAGTACTACAATCGTTGCCCATAGTATCTTTATATTGCAACAGTTCTTACAAATCGTCGCCTTACGTACTTTATGGCAACAGTTTCGCCAATTGTTTTCCTCCACTTATTTCACTACATCTGTCAATTTTTTTAAAATTAATTGTAAAAGTACAAGGTAAAAAAAAATAAAAAACATAAAAGGTAAATATCACATAGGTCAATTTTTTTCTTCAAATTTCATATCATTCCCTCGTAGGTAACGACGCCTCCTTTCTCTCTTCTCTCCGAAGAACCAAAGCACGCATCTATAGTTTTTCTTTAATCATTCTTCTTTGATTTTCCTTGTAGGTATCTGCAACTTTTGGGTCTTCTTCTTCGTGAGTTGTACGTTTCTGCAGCTACAGATATGTTGTATTTTATCTTCTTCAAAGTTGGAAATTTATTAGAAGCTAGGGTATTTGACAAATGAGTTTCTGTGAAGTAATTGTTTTTGCTAGAGTTTATGTTTACTGTGCATTAGAGTGTGTATCTCGATTTTGGTGAAGATTGAGAAATCTCTGCAAAAATGATTATATGGAAATTCTCAGTTTAAGAAGAATTAATGTTATGAAAGATGAGTTTCGATTCTTCCATATGCATGATAGTTCTTATCTATTGAAAAATCTTTTGTTTTTGAACAGGACAAACATTTCTAAGAATAAAATGAACTGAAGTATTTTTCACCCCCAAAAGTCATTAAAGTCGAGCATTAAGGTATTTTGTTTCTCTCTTTCGAGTATATTTTTAGGTTCTAAGTTTATACTTTCTTCCTTATTGTCTGAATTATTTAGTGGACAAACTACAAGTTAGTCATCAAGCTCAGCTCACTGCTTAAAAAGAGGTAATGTTCTTGTTTCTCTTATTTTTTTTTTTTAAACTTTGATGTACATCTGTGTGTCTTAATCTTTTTTCTACTTAAAAAGTAAGTCTTTTCAACATTGAAATAATTTACCTTCAATTAAATGTAATTCGAAGCTAGATTTGAAATTTTGATGCATCTTGTGTTTGAATGTTATAATATAACCCGATGGAGTACGTGTTTTTGCATTTTTTATGATAGTATGATGTCTGAATGCATCTTGCAACACTTGTTTTCAGTATGGGCATATAAAATTATGAAAATAAATAGAAATGTAATATATGATTTATATTGTTCAGCTGATGTCTATATGAGATACTGCGTTTATTTTTGTACTGTGCTCCACAAGGTGTTGTGGTAGGAAGGAACATGAAGCTTATGTCCTGAAATTTCCATCTATATGTAATTTGCTTACTTGATAATAATATTGTGACTTTTGAGGTCTTGATTCTTTTATGCAATTAAACCTTGAACTTGCATCAAAAACCAAAGAGGAGAATGAAGTAAATCGTAATCACATACTCACATTTGTCAGTGACATGCACATTTATTGATTTAATGTTCTTGTGTATGTTAACTTTGATGTAATGTTCAAGTTGATAATGTTCCTGTTTCCCTTACTAATCTATGTACGTTATTACTTAGTATTGAAACTGAAACATTATCAACTTGAACATTACATCAAAGTTAAATTACACAGGAACATCAAATCAATATATGTGCATGTCACTAACAAATGTGAGTATGTGATTACGGTTTACTTCATTATCATTTTTGATTTTTGATGCAAATTCAAAATTTAATTACGTAAAAGAATCAAGAACTCAAAAGTCACAATATTATTGTCAAGTAAGCAAATTACATATAGAAGGAAATTTCAGGACATAAGCTTCCTCTTCCTTCCTACCCCAACACCTTGTGGAGCACAAGTATATCCCATGTTTTATATAGAACTTTTTCGTTTAGTTTTAATTGTGATATTGTCAAAGTTAAATTAGATTATATTTATTCGATATTTCAAAATTAGATATTTAAAAATTATATCAAAAGTACTGTAAGATACAAATATATCTTAAAATGTTAGTCAAAATTAATATGTTTGACTGTCCAAAAAAAAAGTATGACAACTAAAAATAATATTATTATTGAAATTAGATGAATATGAATAATTATCAGTCTGATCCCATTATTTGTTCGTGATAACACTTGTCACATAATAAAAATAAATGAGTCTCACCAGGCAAACATTGATATTATTAACTTTGATGCTTTATAAATCTAATTTGTGATAAAGTTAAAATAGCGTTTCTAAACAATAAAATCTAAGGTAAAGGTAGCATTTGGACTATATATTGTAGTCTTTTAAAATATTATAGCATGATTTTGATTTGATATATACTTAATATTAAAAAAAATGAATTTTGTATTTTTAAATTTAAAAAAGTATTTTAAAATATTTTTTAATTTTGTATTCCTGTATATATCACATCGAAAGGGTTGCCGTTCCTTTTATATACAAACTACCAAACCGAAGTAAAAGTATGATAATTAAATACATAATAGAATTATTAATAAACAATAAAAAAAGATAGACAATATGTTTTATTTTTTTTTAGCGAATGATAATTTTATAGTTTTCTTTTTTAAAATATTGAATCATATATTTTTATGTTTATAAATAAATCAAATAATCTTAATTATTTGGATATTGACATAAAAAGCAATGAGGCGAGTTAATTAGCCTTACGTCTAAATTAGCACAGGTCTTCATGGAATCCTAGTGAAGTTAGAGAAATTTACTCAACTATGATGGGGAGGAAATTGGTGATATTTGATTCTCCTCAATCTACTGCACTCAAATCGTTATGATTGGATGATTTAAAAGCTTGAGTATTTATTCGAATATCGATCGCGATCAATATTGATGGTGCTTTCGATGAGAAGTGTGTTTGTGTGGGTTCTATAAGTCAATTCAAATTGCCTAATTCGTTCCTTGGAAAACTTGTTGAAACCTCTTGGCCTAATTCGTTCCTTGGAGTAGTTGAGGTTCCAAACGATTGCTTTAGTAACCTTATGATCGAGACGGCTCTGTTAATTAATAGGTTTAGTTTATTATTTAAAAAGATGTTGAGAGAAAAGATTTACAAATGTTATGATTTCAGCTAAGGAAATTACATTAGAGAAGCGTGTATTCACAAAATCTCGTGAAGAATCTATTAAAGTTTATTACTTTCTTATACATAGTAGATCATTTGAAGCATATGATGATATTTTTGACTCTGTAGCAACTTTTCGTTGCTATAAAATACCCATATTCTTGTAGTACTAAACTAAAAAAAGTATTTGGGGTTTGAGTGTTATAGGAGATTTGTTTCTTGTGGTCAGTGTTACTAATAGCTTAATTCCAAGTGACTAATGCCTAACTCATATTACTAATAGGTAATCATTGCAACTAATTTGGATGAGTACAAGAATGTTTCTAACAAATTATTATCATGTTCTATTTTGCTTTTATTCTGCCTGTTCTATTATAACTTTTAACTGATCATGAATGTACATTCCTCCTGTGATTTGCACATACATAATGCGTTGAGGTATGAGTCACAAGCTTCTTGATACGTTATCACTTGTGTGAATCTCTCATGTATTCTGAGTGAATTTGGTTGAGGTTGTTTCTCTCTGTATTTTGTATTCTCATATTTATAATGGATTGCTCATCTCCTTTGTGGACGTAGGTCAATTGACCGAACCACGTTAAATCTCTGTATCTTTTGGTATATTTCTCGTTGTCTTCTTACTCGTGGTCTTTTGAGGTTTGCTTTGCTAGCTTCCGCGTTTACACCTGCTTATTTTTGGTCCTAACACCGTCAAGGTTCCATTGACTCATTACTATCAGGTTATGGATTTGTGATGGTGGAAGGTAGCAGGTACGCGTTGCATGCAAGCTATCTCATTTCATATTGTGGGGCAAAATTAATTAGGTATATAAGTTAGTGCTGCCAAAGGCAAAAAAGGATCTGTAACTAAATACTTTTACCAATGGTCCAATGCTAAGGATCTATGGCTGGATTTAGAGATTGCAGTAATGTACCCAACTGTTAACAGAATTTTTGTTGTGCAAGGCCAGGCCTGATATCTTATTGTTTTTCATGGATAGGTTGATTTAGATTTTGCGGTCTGGCTGTCACATGAAAATAGGATCTGATTTAGATAAATAGTTTGATGATCAACTATAAATTAAACACAAATGGTCTCGGATGACTCTTTCTGTTTGTGTCATACAATTAATTGTGAAACCTAACCATTTAAATTTTGTCTATAGAATCCTGCTACCCATCTGCAGCTTCAGACAGTGCAGATTCCTCGTCTTTCTTTATCACCAGTTGTTTTGCCTGTTTGCGAGCTTCAACCAGATTGAGAAGGCGTTTCTCTGCGTCTTCTTTCAGGGAGCTGGGGATCTTCTCTGCAGCATAAGCAGGTATAATCTTGGTCTCCGTCATTCTATTAGAATTTTGATTGATTCAAATAATGGCTCAGGGGGACATTATTGACGGATCCTATCCCATATGAATATGAAACTAGCGATGCTGGTCCAAACACCACCCTACTTTTGCAGCAATCTCATTGCTCTGATCATTGTTAAAGATGTTTAGAAATTCCCTTAGATTTGTTCACTTTATATAAGAGGCTGAGAGAAACAGAAAATTAAAACTTAAATTTCAATCATTTATGTGTATATACTTACTAAGCTATTCAAAATTATTCACCACACAAATTTCTCCAAACCATTTCAAAAAACTTAAGCTGCAACTGAGCTAAGAAAAATACTTCAAACAAACCTCATCTTCAGCATTGCAGTGAAGTTAACAAATCAACAAAGTCGGATTGTGACAAAAATTTGGACAGCCATAAAAAAGTAACATCAACATATAACCAAAACCAACAATAACGTTACACGTGGCAAGAATAATCCAAGAAATTTCAAAGGCAGGAGTAACAGATAAGTAGAAACCACAATATGAGCAACCATTACTCAAGAAATTCGGAAGGCATAGGAAACGGATATGAGAAGAAATAATAAGTGCAGTGCAAAAAATTTCTTAAGCTAACATAAGATATTCAGCTACAACTTACAATAGTTGTTAAAGTTTTAAAGGATGCAGGAGAATATAATAGAGTGAATATGTTCTATAAGGAATGATGTATTGAAAAGATAACTTAATTTTTCACTTTAAGGTAGTTTTTGCTGATTGAGCTTATCATTAATAGGGCTTTTCGGTGGTTAGAGTTAAAAATGCAGCGTGTTAGGGGCTTCAAATTTGCAAACTCAAATCAAAATTTAAAGACTGGTTATCTTCTGGCCGCTGATGCAGCTCCTACAGCAGGTGTCAAGTTCTGTTTCACACAACATTTAGTTGGTTTATTACAAATAGCATATGTAATAGTTCACCTTAAATGTGTGATATTAGTGTGTAGCCACGTAAATTTATGAAATCTTAAGATCCTATTTTCCTTCTTCTCTAGATTTTTTTGTTCATCCAAAAAAACTAAAATAGGTGTTGTCATTGATCTTAAAAGTATTGAATCCATCCTTGACGTCCACCAGGAATTTCCAAGAACCATCGACACTATGGATTAGACTTTCAAAATGATTGTAGCCTTTGTCAAAGATCTATACCCACAAGAGCTGGGATGTTGAACAGAAGGTGACTGCAGAATTATGACACTCCACTGGAACCCAATATGACATAGCCACAAGTTTTGGAGGTTAAAGTCGTGCTGATTGCACAATCATGACACTCTAGTTGATGTTACTGTTTTTCATTTTTTTCATCTTCATCTAAAATTTTAGGATAAATTTCACAAATTTTATTCAGATGATTAGAATTAGCTAAAATAAAATCGAAGACAAAACTTTCAGCTTCAGGGAGATCATTAAGGATAAGACGCCAGACTCGAGTAGAAATGACATTTTGTTCTAAGATTTTTACCTTTGACACTTCAACATATTCAACAGACATCTCTAAGACCAGAGAAACTGATGCAACTATAATTGAGGGTTTGTACTTTCTATGTTTAATTTCTTTATTCCTTATTCAATGCATAAAGTAAAACATATTCGCGGTTACTCTCCAATATAGCAATAAAATTCAACAAAGATTAGAGAAAATTAATGTACGATTAAAGGAGGAATCTGAATATATGACCAGAAATACCTGTAGCTAAAATTCTGGTAGAAGTAGCTGAAGATCTTTAACTTCACGCTGCAGATGACAATAATTTTAAAACGTCAGTGCAATAAGGGGAAGACACGCTATGGTAAAACCACGAAAAAAAGGTGAAAGAATAAAATAAAAAATAAAGCTTCAAATTATTGGCGCTCCTAAGCGGGAAAAAAAGATTGAATATCAATTAAAAGATCATATCAAAATATAAGGCAAATATGAAGAGCAACTCCAGCGCCATCATATTACCTACTGTACGATATTGTGAGACTATGTCTGTTTCAAATGAGTGAACTCTTATCACAGGTAGATAGGCTATGGTTCACAATCATCTTTGTCCGCCAAAATTGATTTTAAGAATTAGTCTAAGTCTGAATAGGATGGACTAAATAAAAGGAAAACTCAAAGCAGCCCAGAAGAACTAGCTCACCCTTGAATTTGAATCGGCGATCACTGATTTTCTAAGCGAGATATGTCAACAGTCGCCGGAAGATAACCTGTACTCAACAAAATTAAGAGCAAGTGCAGTATCAGTACACAACCACCGTGTACAGCTAGGATCACGCGACTATTCCACTAAGTGAAACATATATAAGTCATTACAACATTATAAACATGCATACACCAATCATATACAACATCAATTATCATTTATGTGCAACATACAATGTACAATTTCACATGCTTTGATAAGAGAACCACACCAGAACCACTCTTAAAGTACATTTGTGCAATGAATGAATGAAGTCTCATATCCCCACTCACACTAAGTAATACTATTTGAGAAGTCATAAGCCATGGTCCAGTTCATGTTCATAACAATAAGCCAATATATAACATGTCAATGGTCCTCTCATGGAACTCAATTCAGTAGTCCTCTCACGGAACCCAAACTCAAAATGTTAGTACATTGGTTCTTGGTATCTAATTCAATATTTATGCCGGAACATGGCAACCGATTCCATATTTATACTGGAACGTGACAACCAATCCCAAAAAGTTATACCAAAATGTGGCAAATGATCCGAGTTAGTTATGTCGAAAGTGGCAATCGATCTCAATTAGTTATGCCAAAACGTGGCAATTGATCACATTTAGTATGTTGGTAAGTGGCAACAAATCCAATCAACACACCACAATCACAATCACATTGTATATTTCACAATAATCGTATTAAAAAGTGATTCATGACATATAATTATTCTTCATACTCGTTACAATTAATGTGATTAATAATGCAACATTCGTATACATACATGCATCATAATGAAGCAAAAAACAAACATATATCACACAATCATGAAATGACAACTATTATAAGGCACTTGAATTTTCCTTTCTGGATTCTTTTCGCTTGTTCTAGGTCTACAAGCAATTATATACGCAAGGATCAACAATCAAAGTTCTAATTATCCGGATTATAATAAACCCAATAACCCTAGATCTCCATACTCAGGTGTTTTCCACCATAAATTCCAGATCAAAACCTTTCGCCATTGCTATTAACCCAAGAAAAATGGTTATATGGATCGAAAATAGATTCGGGAAGTGAAAACCTTACCTTTAGCCTCAAGAATGGTGGAAAACTGCCATGAAAACTCCTCAATTCGTTCTTTAGCTCTCAAAGTCGAAAATGCAGATTAAAATGTTTTTGGGGTTTGTTTACATCTTTAAGTTGTATCTGCCCTGCCATGGCGGCACACACCCTGCTACAACGGCGCTGCCCTGGCGGCAAAACTTTCACCCTAGCTGCTTGGACGGAACCAGTGAGCAAAATTAATAATTCCAAGACCCCATTTCACAACACACTTCCAACTAACGACACTCAGAAAATACCATTCACGCTAAAATCAATTTCAAGAGTTCTATTCGTCCGAATTCAATTCTATAAAGTTGTACGGGTTCCATAACGTCTTGGCTATCTACTCATATAATTAAAATCATAATTAAGCCTCTCATTCTTTACCCGATTTCCCTAGACCTTACTGGCTCTGATTTTGTCCAAATCTGGACTAAGTTGAGAGACCTCAAGTTACTACAGAAAAGTTTTTTGACCCCAATTCTTTACCCATTGGCCTTTTTCCTACGACGAAATCAGGTATTTACACAAATATGCTACAATTGATGGATTTCTTGATATAAAAGCATAAGTTGTACAAAAAGGAAAATGTAAGAGAAATAGTGTCTCTTGTCGTGAATATTATTGTTATCAGTTCCAAAGAGACAATGAAAGCATAGTTCTACATTCAGGAAGAGCGTTTCAACAATACACTGTGGATCAGGTGAAAAAGATTGAAATCCAACGATTAGATTTTGCCTCTTTCAATCATAATTTATTTAGAACTGATATTTAAAGATGACTAATATATGTTCTACGACGAGGTGAAAGAGATGTTTCATAAGTAGGTAAGCACAAATTTTTTCCACTTAGATTTACAGGAGGGTCAAGAAATATGCATAGACGGCACATGAATGCTATTGCATTGGTCCAACATTTTGGAAGACCTGATATATTTTTAATCATAACCTGTAACCCCTCTTGGCCAAAGATGAAGAAAATATTCTAGCAAATGATGAAGCACAAACTAGACCTAATTTGATTTGTTGAGTATTTCGTGCAAAGTTAGAGGAATTAAAAAGGATTTATTAAAGAAACACATATTCGGTAAAGTTTTGGCATATATGCATCCAGTAGAATTTCTAAAAGGAGGATTTTCTCATGCTCATTTTCTACTTATACTTGATGAAAGGTTATGAATACTTATGCCAGCCTATGATCGATTTGTTTGTGCAAAATTACCAAGTTCTAAAATAAACACTCACTTATATTCACTTGTTACACAACACATGATCCATGGACCTTGCGGTGAACTAAACCCAATAAGTCCTTGTATAAGAAAAGGCTATTGTAAGTTTAAGTATCCAAAAGAGTTTGATAATGAAACAACAAAAGGAAAAAGTTTATATCATATTTATAGGAGACTTAATATAGGAAACTATGTGGAGATAAGAGAACATCTTTTTGTCAATTTGTTGATTGTCCCTTATGATTCTTTTTTATTATCCAAATATAATTGTAGTATAAACGTTAAGATTTCTTCAAATATTAAAGTTATTAAATACATTTATATGTACGTATGTAAAGTACATGATAAAATTGCATCCAAGATGATATAAATATAGAAGTTGATGAGATAAAAGAATAACAATCAGCTAGATGAGATTTTGTACCCGAGGCAACATGGCCTATATACGCTATTAGTATATAGGAATGTCTCCAAATGTATACCATCTTCAACTACATCTCAATGGACAACAACTTGTTTCATTCAAAGTACTGATAATATTAGTAAAATTATAAATAAATCCAATGATCCAAAAAATAGTGTTAACTGTTTTTTTTTTATAATGAACATAGTAAATGACACTGCTAAAAGTTTAACCTTACTGTATCGAGAATTTCTAGAATATTTTGTGTGGTCAACAATGGATAAAATATGGACAATTCATATGTGTGAATATGTTATTGGACGTGCCGTGACTTGCCATCTCACCGAAGGAGAAAGATATTTACCTTTTATATTACTTTTAATGAACATAAAAGGACCAAAATCATTTCAAGATTTGCTAACGATAAATGACAAACCTTGCACAACATTTAGAGATGCGGCTGAAAAAAGAGGATTGGTACTTTCAAACAATAATTTAATAGAATGCATGTCCGAGGCAGTAAATTATCAAATGTCAGCATGTCTTAGACATTTGTTTGCTATGTTGTTAGATCTCTTGTAGCTCAAGTAATCCAAAATAATTATGGGGAAAATGTGAAACATCCTCATCAGAAGATTTGCGAGAATTCCAAATATTAGTACAATGGAAATTTGTTAATGGTGTTAAAGCATATTAATGATATTTTTCATTTAGTTGGTCGTCATATTAATGATTTAAACTAAATTCTGAAATAATTAAAACATTTGTGCTAGCGAAAGAAGCTAAAGACATTTACTTTGTAAGAAATATTATTATTTTTGAAGATGA